GTTGCTCTCCCCTGGGGGCACACAGGGCCCCCCTGCAGCCATGCCAGCCACCCCATGGGGGGATGCACTCCAGGCCCTTGCAGTTTGTAACTAACTGAAGAGTTTCTGCGTTCCATTTTCTTTCTCTTGTTCCTAATTACAGCTACAGAGCATTTGGGGAGGGTTTACATATATTTAAAGCGGTGTCTTATAACAAGTCTTTCCTTCACAGGTGAGAAACAAGGCCCTAGTGAATTCCTATCTAAACAGATGTCTTCTCTAGGTCACAGAAGTGAGGCAGGGAGCTGCAAATAGGAGGGACTCAACAAAGCAAAACAGTGAAGGCTTGTCACACACTACCAGTCTGTAGCTGCAGAGCTAAGAGCTGAGACACTGGGAAAACTGCATATTAAGGTTTAGTTTGTTACTTTTTAATGGAGCACATCTGTATACATAGAGTATAACAGTCTTTTATGTGATCACATGTTCTTATCTTTCTCTCCTCTACAGGAGTTAAATGAGCTTTGCTGATAAACTCCCAGGTTTCCAAAGAAAAACTGAAAGTGTTTATGCCACTAATTTTCATTCCTGCTTCCTTCTTCATGATTAATTTAACCAGTGCAGTGGAGTTATTTTCAGAGTCACCAAGTCAGAGAATCACTTCACAAAGCTTTCATGCTGTGAGATGGAGCATTTGGGTTTGAATATGAATTTGATAGGAGCAACAGTAACAGCAGGAAACTTTATCAGCCAAAGGGAGTCAAAATTAAACAGAACTGAGTACTCCATCAGCAGGAATTAGTCAGTTATAGCTGTGCTGCCATAGTTCAAGTCATTTCTTTCTCCCCTCTCAATCAAGTGACAGAAAAAGTGTTCTTGCTAGGCTCAGCAATTCAAATCCAAGCATGCTGTTAACAGCCTAAAGCCCTTGATAAATGTTGGCCTCTCCTAATTTTTGTCAAAAAGAACAGGGGCTTGCTAAATAGCCTGGAGAACTAGAGATCTAATTTTGGCTGAAGAGCTAAACTGTAATCTAGTTTAATGAAAACTAGTAAAAGACTAGTTAGGGAGAATGTTTCATTCTGAGACAGGGCAGTGATTCACAGGTAAAGAACAAGCTGCCAACATGATGCTCTTAAGCTCTGAAATCCACAGAACAGGTGGAAATCCTCACCTGGCCTCCACTCAGGTCACTTCTAGAAACTGTCCTTGAAAAAGAGAAAAGTTGCCATGCTCAAATACAGCTATGCTGGAGAAGATCACAACTAGCCACATGAATTTATAGAGAAGCTGAAACAGTGCAGGAAAACCATATCACAGTGTAGTTCATGGCTGGTCAAAGTCTTTCAGGAGGCACTAATATCTCTTTGAGGAGAGACTTTATGCCACCAGTTTCTTCAGTTTAATGACACTGAAAACAGCCATTAAATGGAAACTTTGGGGTTTTTTCCATCTCTCAGGTTTTCTGAGTTTTCTTGTTTTGTTTGTTTTTGGTTTTGTTTTGTTTTGTTTTTTCAAAGTGTATGAGTTAAATCCAAAAGTTGAAAATATTATAAGATCAGGGAGTAATTGAATATGGATCACTGAGAACACTGACAATAGGGTTTCCAGTGAGAAGGAAAACATTATTTCGTGCCTCTATCTTGCAAGTAAATTTTTAAGCAAGGTTCTAGATAATATCAAGATCAAAACCCACTACTTACACATACTCATGTATTTTACAGACATATAACCTTTTTTAATTGTTTGGTTCAATGAGTTTTTAATTCTAGTTTTAGCGTAGAGAAGTTTGTATTTTGAAGGATCATATTCAATTTATTTGTATTTTGAGAAACAGACAATATGTTAAGAGGGTCACAATTCAGGCTTTTCCTCCTAGGTTTATATTTGATTAGAAAACTAACGGCACAGTTCTGGTGCTTTGGGAAATTATTCTGGCACTGCACAGACAGCTCTAGAAGGAATCCATAAGTAATAGACACACTAGTTAAATTTCTTCTTGAATTTACATCATAATGATTTTTCTTTCAGTCTAAAGTAAATCTTGCCATCAACAAGTATCACAAAAAAACCTTTGTACCCAGGCACAACATACTGCAAAAGTACAGACTGATGCAGATATTATGCTACAATTGTGAATTTTGCAAAATCAAATATAATCTGTTACTATAACAGTACTTCTTGCAAAAGCCTTTATTGGTTCAGTTTGTACAGTAAGCCACAGTACTGTGACTGCCTAGCAACGTAGCTCGATGAGAACTCAGATTTTCAGGAGACCTAGCTACAACTCAGCTTTCTTCCTGTTTTCTTATCTTGTGTTTTTTTGCTATCTGGCCAAAGAACAAATGACCCTTAAGCTTCCTGCTTTATTCACAATTGTATCAAACCTGGCTTTGCTTTTAGCCACTTCTGACCACAGCTTTTGATCTAACCCTCCCCACACCCTCTCCGATTATTCACTGAACACTTAACTCTCTCAGTGTTGTCAAGCAACCTAACTCTTCCTCAGCTTTCCTAAGAAGGTGCTATCAAGAGCTTTGATGTGTTAGAGCTGCAGACAGGAGAGGTTATAGAAGCACAGCACTAAATGTACTTGATAATATGAGGTGTCACTATGAAAAGGCCCCACTAAGTTTTACACTAACAGAAGAAAAAACTGAAAATGGGTAAAGACAGCAGTATGGCAGAAAACAAACTAGGTATATGGTCAACCAGGACTTGGCCCTGCTGCCAAAATGTCCCAGGTCATGTTTCTGTAACAGCTGTTCTGTGCAAGGCAGCATAGCTAACTATCCTTGTTCTTCTAATCGGAAGATTTTATTCAGTTATAGGCATCAACTTTTATAGAAGTAGTAGCCAAAGTGGTGCAAGAGAAAAACAAAGAGAACAATTGCAAGAAAATTTGGCCTGTGGAAAAAGACTGAAGGAAATGGTTGCATTCAGTTGAGAAAACACACGACTGATGGAACAATGTAAGCGTTCCGATGTACAGAAGACTTTTAGGAAATTATAATCTTTTTTTCCAGGTAGGGGTAGAAGCAGGCCAAGAGGCAATCTCTAGGAAAAATAACCACATTTTCCCCTTTCTCTGACATCTGAAAGGCTAGTTAGTCACTTCAGGAGGCTATCCCAAGAACTGAGAAATCTTCTTCAGTGGATGAGGAGAAAAAAACCAACCCAATCCTATTTTGGAGTGGAGTAAAGTGATTTTAAGAGCAGATTCAGAACAGCCACAGCTTGGTTTGGTGTAGCTGAAATCTGAGTGATAATGCCCAGAGGCTTAGTCCCATGTGACTGCCTCAACCCTTGCCTTGGGGCATCAGTGCCATTCTACCTTCCCAGGCTACACAGAACTTGGAGCAGTTCTCCATCTTTTTTAACTCTGAAATGAGAAGTCCCTATTGTCACAAACTGTCTGCAGCATGAATTAGAGTGGCTTCAAGCTCTGTCATTGCTATGAGCACAGCCAACATGAGAATGAGCTGCAGGTGAGAAATGAGACCAGGCTCGCCCACAGTGGTTTTCACCAGGCAAGGTGACAGCAGCTTCCAGGAAGGGGCTCCTCTGCACTGACCAGAAGCTCCAGCTCCACTCTGGATGATCTCATCTTCTGTGTGCATCATCGTCAAGGTGGATTCAGGAATTGCACCACACAGGTCCAATGTCACCAATAATAATGGGGTAAGTGGCAGCAGTGGTGCCAGATGTTACCATCTTGAACTGAAATTGCAGGGGTCATTGTCTCATATCAAGTGGGTCACCAGCATGGCTTGGCAACAGGGAAATCATGACAGACCACAAGGACTTCATAGTTCAGAAAGAGTTGACCCTAGGTGTCAGAGCTGGGAGATGAACATGAAAACAGCATGTTTGGAAATCAGGAAGATCTATGACAGTGCCAGCACTCGTGTATCTGGACTCCATTTTGACCTCAAGACTAGGCTGTACTGCAGAGGTCTTAGATCCTTCTCCTCTCCCTTGAGGGCTGTCTCTCCTTCCATTCTTGCCATCTGAATCACTGCTCCTCCAACATGAGGGATGTCCTCCTACAGTTTGCTCTCCCTCACAAACAGTGCCCAGCCTGGTTCTTATCTCCTGCTTCTCCAGGTCCGTGTGCTCTTTCCCTGGTCCTTGGCTTCCAGCAGGGGAAGTATGAAATGCCTGGGAGAGCATCTCCCATGGAGCTGGGCAGCATTTCCTCCATCAGGGAGAAGCAGTTCTACTGTGTGTGGCTGTATCCCATCCTTGAATTGACATTTGCTGCCCAGGGGTGGCAAAAGGCACTGTTTTACTCCCTTCTCTTTCCTGACATATTCCCTAAATCATGTCGCAGAGACAGCAGAACTTCTTGATAAAATAGCTATACTTTAAAAATAAGAAAGGGGAGGGGAAGAATGCTCCATTTTGAAACACCTTATTCTCAAATATCGCTCACTAACTTTCACAAAAACTTGAAAAATCAAATATACAAAAATTAAAAAAAAAAACCAAACAAAAAAACCCCAACCAAAACAAAACCCACAACAAAACCCAAAAACCCGAACAACAGTGTTAGAAGACAAGTCTGGCAAGGAATGGAATCAAACCAAGCAGCATTTTTCAAAACTATGAGCAAGAAGCCTATTTGCAGGGGCTTTGAGCCACTTTAAACATAAAAGTTAACTTAAAAATATAACTGTATTTAGTTGTCAACTTAGTTATTGCATAGCTTAGAAGTATGATACCTAACTCAAATGTCTGACGATAAAACATGACAAAAGACCTTCCTCCTGATGTGGACTGTGACCAGTGTAGACAAACCATTTATCATTTCCTGCCTTCATTGCAATCCTGAGCTGTAACTAACTTCACTACAGACAGGTGAGCAATAACAACACAGATGAACTCGTGTATGTACTTAGTACCTCCAATTACAGTTGTCTGCAGACAACTGCATTTGGAATAAATCTTCTTTTAATGTCAGGCTGCTGACTTTCTCTGGAATTGCTTTGAAAGGTGAGAGACCTTGATTTCTTTTGTCCATGGAGTTCCCATTTTTTCATGGGAAGATAACAAGAAAAACCTGTGAAGAACTGATGAGCAAGACCAGAAATGGTAGCTATTTAATACGAGAGAGTGAAAGCATGGAAGGAGCTTTGTGTCTCTGTGTTTTGTAAGTACTCTAATACTAAAGTTTTTATGAGTTTTTGGATAGATGCAAAGGCAAGCAAGCGTTCATCTTCTCTAACATTAATGGTTCTTCCTTAACAGACTCCAAGGGGATGTGTATATGTATTCAAGTAATGCTGGTTGCCTTAGGCTTCATTTATAGTGAGTAGCGAGAAGGTGGCATTTGCAAAAGATGTTTTATACAACAGAGGATAGATTAACTGTAGTCTGCTGGTGCTGATCTCTTTCTCTGCAGACAGTAAGAGGAGCCCAGAGAAAATAGCTAGCCTGCCAAAACATGGTAAGAACCTTACCCAAAGTTACTGCCCCTTTAATCATGAGTAAATAGCATTTTAGCACTGTTGAGACACTGAAAACTCTTGCAAGAGGTTACAAAACAGTTCTTTCATAGGCTTTTTATCTAATGAAAGCTTAGCCTTGTATTTCAAAGGTATTTTACCTAATGTAAAAAACATAAGCTGAGACAGAAAGCTGTACTGTCCTGTTCTAATTCATATGACAAGTCTATGAACAAAATGGGCATAGAAAATTGCTACTTCTAGTCCTTAATGTTAATTACTACTATTACAATTTTATTATTTTCTTTTCCTTTAGAGAATAGCACTTTTATTTCCCTTTCAAGAAACCTGTTTTATGCTTTTCATGTATAATTGATCTGTTCCTAATGCATTCAAAGTTTATAAATTAGCCACTCTGACCTTATGAGGTTTTACACTTTTCTTGAGGATGTGTTTGAGCGTAAGATGAAAAATTTTTAACACCACATCGAATTAATTCAAAAATATCAAAAAAGTGTCTTATCAATAATCAAAAATGCCTAAAGGAGAAGGGAGGAAAAGGGAGAGGGAAATGGAGCACTATGGATTTGGTGGGTAGAAGACAGGAGATCCGTGAGGTGACAGAGTAAGGAGAAGAGAAATGGCAAGCAGGGGACAAACAGAGCTCTCAGGGAGGGAGATGTGGCAACCTGCTTTCATTATGGTGTGGAAGGAAACAATGTAGGGGATGCGGAGAGGGCAGGGAGAATGGGAGGGAAAGGGCACCTGTCAGAAGGGACAAATGGGGATCCTGGCACAGAGGAAGAATGACAATGTTAGTCCCTGACATGGGAAGATGACTGTTAAGATCTCATGCAGTAGAGGTAGATGACAGTGTAAAGGGCTAGTTAGGTGTGTCCAGTGAGTTTGAACTACTGATGTAACAGAGGGCACATCTACAGAGTACACTGTAGGCAGATGCAAGCTGACATAAAGTTTAAGCTTGGTGCCACGCTAACAAAGTTGCTTCCAGTTTCTTTCTGCTTAAGGACAAAGTTGATCTACCTTGTGATAGCTTGCAGACACCCTTCTTTCTGTCTATTGACAGTGGTCTGGGCGGGCATATGAAAAAGCATTGACTTACAGTTAGTCTCTGTGAATTTTTAGTGTTAAAAACTGGTAATAAGTTCAGTGTTTAGTGTATCTGACTAACTCCTGCATTAACAAACATAATAATTAAACTGTAGGAGTGGCAGCAATGGTATAACAGATACTGGCTTGCAGATGTGAAAGCAAATGGGATGGTAATAAAGTTGCCTCAGAGACTGGACTGTTTGCCAGTGGTTGACTAGACAAACTGTCCTAAAACTGGAGGCAATCAACACTGAAACTCTCACTGCTATTTCAAGACAACTTTTGGATTAGAATCACATCTTAAAACATTGCTTAGCACCTGATATGGTTGATGCACACCTCTCAAACTGTCTGATCCATGGGCAGAGATACTGATCTTCTTGCTACAGAAAACAACCAACATTTTTTTTGTCCTCTAAAGATTGGGGTATGGTGGTGGAAGGCACTCCCATGGAGGATCTGGGAGTCAGAATGGTGGGACCAGTTTGAAAGCATCTCATTCCTAATCGGGCATGGAGCACAGCTCTGCTGATATGTCTTCCTCCACAGCACACTGCAGCTTTCACACAAAGCTGTCCCAGGTCTCTGACAGTGCCTCAGTCAAGACCTACTGCTCTTGCTACTATTCTCCTTACGATTCAACTTCTCATTCTCAAAAAAAAAAAGCTCCTCCTCTCATCCTGCTTTTCTGCCACTGGATCTCTCCTGTGCTCAGACCAGGCATGTTATTAATCTGTACCATATGCAGCTGTTGGTAAGCATTTAGTAGTTAATGTGGAAACAGAAGTTTCCATTTTAATGGTTGTTTCATGTTTACTTAATAAAAATTAAAGTAGCCAAATAATATCCAGACAGTAACCTTTCAAAATTTAGATGATTGGTAAAGAACGAGTTTCAAGAAATGATTGGTTTCTGGTATTATTTTTTCTGACTTCTATTTCTATGTTTAAAGAATGAACACCCACATTTATAAAATACTCTTAAGCCAGGAACATATGAATTTACACAGGTATCTCAAGGAGGAAAAAAAAAAAAAACAAATGATGCATCCCTGTGATGCAACTCTTTGGGTTAAAGTAAATCTATTCTGACTGGAAGTCTTATCGTGATCCCAGTCTATAGTAACTTTTTTTTCAGAACAAAATAGTTTATTTCCAGAGTAAACATTTATACGCAAGTCCCCTAAGCTAAGTTTTCTACCTAAGACTCTACCTCATGATAGCTCAATTCATGTAGCTACAGCTGAAGTCCTTCCGATCAACATGCATACCAGTTAAAATAACTTATTTTCAGATACTGCTCCTGTCCCCCAGCTTATTTGTGGTACATATTTCTTTGCAACTTTACTGCCTTTTTGGATCACGGTCGTGATCTCTGGTTCATCTTCTGAATAGCTGCTACTATTGGTATTTGATAAAGCTTTTATTTCTATTATCAAAATATCTTTGAAGCCATCAGTAGCCTGGTGTGTTCAAGCACTCACATATTATTAAAAACACTAATAACTAAAATCCTGGGAAATGCAAAGGAAAAATATTTTCTTGGAAGTAGGACCTGTGGAGTCTTATCCTGGGTGCTGGTGACTGGAGGCCATTTTCTGCTAACATCTCTCCAAGAATTCAACAGCCTTCTTGTGTTATAGCTGCAAAATTAAGTTTAAGGAGGTATTACACGTGAGGAGGATAGAAAATAGATGAGAGGAATCAAATTAATATAAAGGCCTGTGTTAGATTTAGTTCATAAGTTCCTTGAAACACCTGGCTAGAGTAATCTTGTATTTCAAGATAGGAAGTGTCCTCTCATTTTGCAAACTCTAGACTACCTTCTGTTTTGCTTTTCTACCTCTGTCTCATTCAGTTTTACTGCTCAACTTATCATTTGTTCAATACTACCTGCTGTTTGCAGACATTTTTCTTAAAAATGTGGTGTCTCTTCCTTCCACCACAGTGTCTGCTTTTGGCAGCAGGGGTCAGAGACTCAGCCCACTGTGAAGTCCCTAATATCATACATGCTCTTAGGTATATGTCCAATATAATATACATCTCTAGCTATAATCTGGTCAAATCAAACATATTTTAGGTTGAAGTAGTCTGGTAGATGATCACACCTGGAATACATGCAGGTGCAGACAACTCAAGGGGCCACCGTGTGGGGCAGCATGAAGAGAATAATAGTATGAATTTGTGGTGCTGCAATTACTTGAGGACTCCCACAAGGAAAGCAGATTACACGAAAAACATTCTGCAACTTCATGCTCCTGTGTATGCCACGGCAACCTCCTCACCTGCTCTCTGCTTCAGAGGAATGCCAGCAGATCTCATGCAAAAGGTGAACTTCCAAGTTTCTAAAGAATTGTTCTTTACTACTAGATTAATATTTTTCTTTCTTTCTCCCACTCTCCCCTTACATCCTTCCTAAGTTCTATCAGTATGATAGAAGACTTTTGCAAAGATAACCTTTCAGACCATCACTCCATGCCAATGAGCTTGTTTCCATACAGCATTGCAGTCTTGTGTCATATCCCAGATGAATCTCTCATCCTTGTTCTCAGTTACAGATCAGTCTTTTGAAAGGTGACTGTTTCTCTTGTGGATGTGGTAATTAGTTAGAAGCCAGCCCATTTTCCCCTAGAGTATGACTTCAGAGAAAGAAGGGCTCCTCACTTTTGATTTTATAGCTATTTAGATCTTCCTTACAGCTTTTTTGAAGGAGGGGTACATGTTAGCACTGTCTTTCCATTGTGAAAATGATGATGAGTACAACCCAGTGTAAAGTCCGAGAGCTGACCAAGCCACGGCTCCCCTTCTCCTCACTGCTAATGGAGATACTGCAGTTCTTGATGACATGTGTGCCAGACCTTTGCTTGCAGTTTATTCCCTTGTTGTTTCTAGTGACATGAAGCAGTTCTGCTGGTGGTGAGCTAGGACTTGGGCACTTCATGGAAGCAAGGACTCTCTTCTCTTACACGGCACCTGCGGTGGAATTCCAGGGTCTATGTTTTTTTTACTGCCTCAGAACAAGTAATACAAATTCTCAGTGACGTCCAGCCCTTTCTGGATGTATAAACTTGAAGCATTTACATTGCTTTGACTTAGATTTATTGGAGCTGTAGTAATACAAAACTTGGAATAGGAAATGCACTTAAGAAGCTGGAGGAAAGCTCAGGCAGCCAGATGATGTGGAGGTGAGCTAGCTGGATGTGCTTTATCAAGATCTATGCTAAGCAAAGTGTGGTGACTGCAGGATGAACACAGCACTCTCAGCTACCTTAACTGTACGTGGCCTAACACTGCAGGGCAAAAAAGAGTGCCGTAAACTTGGTCCAAAATCAAACAGATCTGCACAGTGACGTACAGGGGGTTAGGACTGAATTGGCAAGGCATGATAAAGAAATATCGGGGTTTCTGAAGCTTAAGAAAACTACATGCATGACTAACTTTGGCAAACAGACAATTAAACATATGACTTAGAGAATCTCAAGTATTTTGAAAGCTCCAATATATGAATCAAATGGAAATATATATATATATATATATATATATTAAAAAAAATTGATGCAATTTAGCACCAGGCATTCCTTTATATTGGTTTTAGTCTTTCATTATACTGTAGTTTACTTTAAGATACAAACAAACAAATTAAAACCAAAGCTATCCGTCAAGATCAGCTGTGGCAGTCTAAGCAAATTGCAGTGGTCTGACAGTTAATAAAAAGCATAATGTATACAACAATGCTTTTCACAGCTTTGAAGGAGTCATCTACACTTACCGTATCTTCAAGGACCACCAAGGATATTTTAGAATACAGGTAAGTAACTCTCATTTCATCTGTACAGACTGCACTAAAGATCATTGTCTTGATTAAAAAGATTAATATACATGAACACATTACCTTAGAAAATATTTCCAAGTTTGCTTTTTTCTCTTCTCAATTCTTGACTCTTTAATGTTATACTTATTATTACATATGAGTTCATAAGTAGCTATTATGTTTGTAGAATTCCCTTATAACCTAAATGGATTTGTTATTTGTTGACCAGCTGCTTTCTGATTTGACCGTTTCTTTTTGATAGCATTAAAAAAAAAAAAAAATCTATCCCTTCCATTACTTGCTCCTGTTTCTAATTAGCTTTTTCTATTTGAAAACTCTGCCACTGCACCCAGCATCTTGTAGGAGTTTGGAATATTGCAACGATGTTTTGATTCAAAGAGACTTATCCATAATTCTGTGTGACTCTGGGGCACCTGAAGTGATGACCCCAGATAATGTTGCTCATTGCTTGAATAAGCATAAGAGCAGACTGCATCAATCAAAACCCAAGGCAAGGTGAGATGGCACTTAAAAGCTGGCTCACTCCTCTGTTTGTAGTAGGAGAGCCAACAAAACTGCCAACAATTCGGTAGCATTAAAGTGAAATGAGGAACTCACCCCGTAAAGGACACACCAACCTCTGATACGCTGGTAATTTCTTCCTTATTAGTGGTTTGGACTGTGTACAAAAGACACAATTTCCCATGAAGAAGAATGGTTTGCTGACAGAAAATAATCTATTTTGGAATACAGCCATTCTAGTGGGGTTTGCTGTCATGCCTATCAGCAGATAATAACTCAAAACACTTTTTAGTTTTTTCAAACCCAATTTCCCTTGTGGGGTTTTGCCAAGAATATAGAAGTGTTCTGGTCTTCAAATTTTTAAGTCAGATTGGTTTGGCTTACTAAAATAATAGACTAAAACAATATATAAATGGTGGAGGGAGATTGTTTGGGCTTTTTTAAGAGCCAGATTCAGCCATGAACTTTCTAGAATGCAGTAAATTGACCCCAACCAGCAGTGAATCACCCACACAGCTGCTCGCTCCCTCCCCACTTTAGCGGGATGGGGTAGGGGTAAGAGAACACAAAGTGCAAAAGTGAGGAAACTAACTCCTGGATTAAGACAAAAGGCAGTTTAACAGGTGAAGCAAAGTTGTGCATGCAAGCAAAGCAAAGAAGAAGTTTAATCACTATTTTCCATCAAGAGTCAGATGTTCTTCCAACTCCTGGAAAGCAGGGCCTCAGCATGCGTAATAGTTAGTTAAGAAGACAAATGCCATGAGCACGAATGTCCCCGCTTTCCCTGGGCTTTGATCACTGAGCAGTGTCATATGGGACAGGACAGCTCTGTGGTCAATTCAGGCCCGCTGTCCTGCTGTGTCCCCTCCCAGCATCTTGCGCACTGGCAGACTCCTCGCCGGGGGAGCAGAGTGTCAAAAAGAGACAGCCTCAAGGCTGTGCGAGTACTGTTCAGCAACAGCAAAACCACAGCGCTATACAGGCTGCTACAAAGAAAGTTAACTCCATCCCAGCCAGAGCCAGTACACAGAGGCAGTGGCACCCAGTCCACACAGGGCTGAACGGAAGATAAAGGATGAAGAAACACAAACAAAATAGGCATGTTTCTTTGTTAGTGAATGAAGCAAAACCAAAGCCCCATTCAGTTTTAATGACTAGGAGTAGAAGCCTTGCTGTGATTAGAGCCGATTAATGTGCTTACTGTCTGTCACTGTCCTGAAGTCCCCAGGGCTGCCAAGCCTCTGTACAGATTACTGTGGGCTGTGCCGTGGAAGCAGTTCAGTCCAGCTGTATGAACATTAAAAAGCAGTTTGTGAGAATGTTGTTCCCCCACTGAGGAGAGCCATCCTCTGTGTTTGGCCTCAGGAGTCTCCAGTGCAAGTCACAAAGCTGGACAAATAATAAACTCCTGCCTAAAAGTGAAAGCTGGTGCCCAGGACTTTCATATGGATCCTCAGACACAGACGCTGCCTCTGCCTATGTCCCTTGCTTGACAATGATGATATTCTGTAAAACATTTGGCTTCTGCTTGTTAAATAGTTATTTAAATACAATAGTTCAAGCGAGAAATAAATATGTTGCTTCTAAACTTGTGTTTTCAGACCAGAGGGAAGTCTGGAATGCTGTCACTCTTTGACACTCTGCTGTAGATTGCTATAGCACACATCTGAGCCAGTATTTAAACAGATATTCTTTTTTCAAAAAGAAGATGGTAAGAGAGGTTACACTCAGTGCTGTAACCACGTCACCGAACAAGGTTCCCTAGCATTTTAAGGATAGTACAATATTCTGTCACCAAATCTGTTTACAAAACAGCTCCTTGGTAAACAAGAAACAACTTAGTGTTCCTTTCATTTAGGGGACTCTTTGTGAAGGGCAGTTGCAAACAAACTTTATTTTCCTTTCCTTGTAGACTACTGAAGGTGTTCCAGACAGGATCTTCAGAACATTAAAGGACCTAATATACACTTATGAAAAGCCAGATCAAGGACTAATAATAAACCTCCGCTACCCAGTAAAGAAACAAAAGGTCTCACAAAGAAGCCAGAGGTTAAAGTCAGGAAAGGATGACATTTATGATGGTGAGAAACTTAACTCTGCCTTTGTGGGTTTGTTCTTTTTAAGATGACTGCATTGACAGGTTTGTGGTGAATAGCTGCTAAGCTCTAAGACCAGCTTGCATGGACAAAAGTTCAACACCCTTCTCTCTTATGTTCACTGGAAGATGGCTATTCCTAGTTCACAGGTTACACATCCTCATACACCACAAACTGACAAGTTAAAATTGCAAGAGATACAGAAGGCAAAGCATGATGTTGCCCACAGCTCACTCCATGCATGTTGATGCTTCTAGGCTAGGGAAGGCTGAGGACCAGTTTTACCCAATGTGGTTCTGCCAAGCTGCCGGACCCCTGCACTTCACTGTGAGTTGAGACTTTTGAAAGCCATTCTTCATATTGCTGCTGCATGACACTCAGCTACAGTAGCCATCAGGTCACAGGCTGAAAAATAACCCTGAATCTCTTCTAGGTCCCCTGACTACATGTGACGTGAAGCACAGTAAGAGCATGCATGAGCAAGTGAAATCCTTCTACTAACTACTGTTAATATTAATTACAGTTATCATAAAGAAAAAGAATCTTGGAGTATCCAGCCTTCTGTGTGATTTATATCTCAGGACTAACACCAGCTCAAATGTGGTTGTGTGGGCCAGCCTCCCTGTGCTGCAGTTACACCTTCCTGGCTGTACAACAGGTGCTGTTTTTTTGCACTCAACAAACCAGTGCAACAGCTAAGGCACTGCCTCAACAGTGCCACAGCTCAAGCAGGACAGGAAGGGGTGGGCTCTCCCTACCACATGCACTAAGCTGCATTTTTAGGGGTCAGTGCAGCAATAACCTTGCTAAGAGAAACAGTAGGAAAGAGACGTTTTCAGTGTGTCCAATACTGCATTATCATTTGTATCACTAAGGCAGATATGCTACATTTGTTCTAAAAAGGTTTTTCTGGTATCTTGTCATTGATGCTCCAGACAGATGGAAAATACTGCAGTGGCATGGATGTATTTTCAGGAAGAAACAGGTGCAATACATATTTTATTGTCTGGCCCCGCAACATGAACTTTTCTAGAAGATGTACCGTGTCCTAGTCTTGACTCACAAGGACAAAAACAAACACTTTCATTTCACTATCAAAATATTTGTGGTTGTCCATAAAAATGGAGGCTTTTCGAAATAATCAAATCATTTTGGAATTGCTTCTGTTCAATTTTAATTTAAATTTCACTTATGTAGCATTCCAAACTTTCCTCTCAGACTGCTTTATTACATGCTCACAGGGGGAGCTTAGGTCAATGTTATGATGGATATCTCTCTGAAACGTAGGCACCACACAAAACACCCTATTGCTTCCTAAAGCAGGCACCACGCTTTTCTGGCCCCATCCCTCGTGTTGCACTGGCATCTGGCTTTGCAGTGCAGGCAGGACTGAGTGCTCCAGTGGGACCAGAAAAACACCTTAAGGGACTGGGGTCACAATACTGGGGTTTGGACAGTTTTGAACATTGTTTTCTAGCCTAGGAACAGCTTGTCTGAGGGTGGCTTCTTGAAGAGACAGTAGGTTTCCATAGTGGAGATGGAGTCCCAAGCAGTCAATTTCTGCCTTTTCCCTGGTTTCTCAAAAAAAAGCCATAATCCATCTGACAAGGTCTAAAAGAGAAAGGTTTTTTTCAGGCTCTCCTTCCTTAGTTGGGAGAAAAGCTTTTCTGTTGGGTATTTATTTAGAGAAGAAAGGGCGTTTTATGCTGTAGTCAATAGTTATCTTGGCTGTTGATGTGATTTACTAAGTATGGATGATTTCTGACATTTGACTGCTCCTCAGGAAGAAGGGCTCACAGTAGACAGTGCAGGCTTTGCCTCCTCCTGGAGAACACAGTCCACAGGACACGGGGCCTAAACGTTGACCCTGTAATAGCAGAGAGAGTACCAAGAAACCAAACTGAGTTACTGATACCTGCCCAGCAACACGGCCACAGCCATCCTGCTTACGTGGGCTTTCTGAGGAGCCGTTTGCAATGACAACATCTTTATTTTATTGATTTCTTTCCAGAAATTGATGACAGCGATTACATCACTGTCTTGCCCTGAATGACCTACAGCCTGACAATCTGTGAAGCTGCGGTTTCGGGCTGTGCCACAGCACAATGGATCAGCCAGGGCGAGCTGCCAGCTGGACATTCTCTGCCGTGGATTTGTACCTCTGGAATTAGTCTCCTCCTTTTGCAGCCATATTTTCTCCCAGTAGATCTGGTACAAGCTACTATATATTTTTGTTCATCGATTAAAAAAAATAATGTGTATATATATGTACACATACGTACGGGGGAAGGACATCTGTGCACATGTATATGTATTTTGGTTTTTTTAGTCAGCAAACCAAGATGGCTACTGCTAAAATGAACAGTGTTAGAAAGCAGCAATATAAATACAGTAAATGAATGTGCATAAAGCAGCAATTTATGGCAAAACTGATGTGTTGATAAAAACCATACATACCAAAAATTATTATGTCATCATATGCTGCTTAAAAACCTCTAAACTCTGTTGTTTTGGGCATGATTCATGTTACTCCATTGTTGGACAAGTGTATAGTATTTCAGCTATGTTAAGGAATACTAGCATTATCCTGTAGTTTGGAATAATCTAAATTAAAACAAAGTCTGTGTTTATTCCATACCCTAAAGAATTAACGAACAACATGAAATGGTTTGAAATACTTTTAATATTGATGAATGGTTCTGGTAGATTACAGTAGGACTGCAAGTTGTACATATGGCATTATGAACACATCGCTTTTTTTTAATAGGTACTGTACATATGAGAATGCTTACTACATTTCATTTGCTACTGCCATTAGCTCTCTATATACATTATAATATGTATGGGGTTTGTCATTTTTTTAATGTAAGAATTTTCTTTAATCTTACCCCTCATTTAAATATTTAATAAATACTTTTGTTCTGAAGGTTGTTCTGGCCTGCAACTAGCCACCAAAGCCAGACCTGGAATGTATGTCGTGATTCTCCCCATCACTAGTGCAAACTCCCCTTCCGTTTGCGATCTTGAGGAAGACATTTATATTGGTTGTGTGTTTGTTTAGAATCTTTCACAAATTATTTATGTATTTTAATGAGTAATACTAGCTAGATTTCTTTCTATTATGTTTCTTTCACACCACTGTTTGTTAAAGGACTTTTATATCTTTCAGTGCTTTGGACTTCAATATGAATTTAACAGTGCTAACAGTTTTTGTGCCAGGCTAAACTGTACTTCAAGCATCAAGGAAACAGAAAATGAGAGTATTAATTAACTCTGGCATTGCCAAAAATACTAATCTATGTGTCCAAAAATCATGAATTGAAAAGAAAGTAGTTGTCCAAGAAAAATGGTGCTATGGGAAAGAAAACAGCCAACCCTTGTGCTGTAGAAGCGCATACACAGATGAGTCTATTTGCAGAATTCAGCAGCCTGCCTGATAGTTGGTTATCACATGTATCAGACTGAGCAGCTGCTGTGCTGAGACATCCCAACTCCAGCAGCCCCGTCTTTAACAGAACACAGCACCACAGTTCTGCCACACGAGGCTCAGCAGTCTCCATGTGCTCAGTCACACCGACGTTCAACCTTAGGAAAAAGGCCGAGTGGCAAGGGATCCCAGGCCGTGCCTCATGACCCCAACCACGTGAATCCCGATGGCGCACGGCTGGCGAGGACAAGAGGCTGGGCTGTGGTGCTTTTTAGCTGGCAGTTGCTCTGGATAAAGCGCTGCCATGCAGGCAGCTGTGCTCTGCACTCGGATTTACAACACCAGGGTGGCTGCACCTCTGGATGCTGCATCTAGACCCAAGGGAGTGTACAAGCATACACCATGGGCAGTTCTCAGGCATTACCTCTGAGGCAGTCAGCAGAAGCAGAGTTTGAAGGATCAAGGATTTAAAGGAGAAATCAAGGACCCATAATAAAAAGACATTTCCAGTTCCATTTCCACCACATTTAGAGTATTCAGCTGTTCTTTAGAGGAGTATATTTGCTGGTTAACAGTGGAAGAAAATGAGATTAATATACACATTCTATTACTGTAAATTCAGTCTCAAAACAACCCTCTAAGACTTAGTTTGAAGTTTTCACAAGGCAGGCATTCTATATTGCAGCACCTAATGTGCATACACTAAAACAAAAGTTTATCCTTTATATATCTTAAAGACATGTATATTCATAGATTTTCCAAGAATTCTCCACCTGACTATTACATTTACATAATGCTGGCATTGAAAAATTACACTATGCCTGCACTGGAGTCTCAGGTGGTCATCAGTGGTCATTTCAGGAGTTAGCCCCCTATCCCTTTTCCCTTTTATGGTCATGAGTCTTTTGAGGACAATTTCTTCTCCTTGGATCTTTCCCAACTCTGTTGTCTGGCCAAGACATTCTTTCTTAGCTGCCTTGTTTTAGCATTTCTGCCACGCTGTATCTATTCCCAAGGTCAGAATATTTTCTCTGTACATTTTAACCACTCAGGCCTTGTTAAATACAAAGTTGAACATTGTTTGGTAAAAGAATTTCTTAATATTTAAGGTATAATGGATCACTAATTGTTACAGGCCTCAACTTGCAGGCACCAATTCCTACACTTCTTCACAGTCCTAACAGATTAGAAAACAATCGATGCATGAGACTTGAAAAAAGTATATTCAAAAACTTCACACACCAGCACCTACTTTCCAACATCCCCAAGTGGAGTGTGTGCATGGGTTAAGCAGTGATGGCTCAAATCACATTGTACCTGAACACTCAAGAGAACACTCAAGCATCAAACTGCAGTCAGAGTGCCCCAATGGGAAGGGGCCACCTCATACCCACAAAGAAAGAATAACTCCTGCCACACTGTCCTTTGCCTCCCTGCTCCCCACGGGACAGCTGCTAAATTTTCGTGACGCTGCAAGGCCCCAAGCAGGTGCCAGGCAGCTCTTGCCTGTGGACATTGCCTCGGCCCCAGGAGGGCTAGCCCTCCACGGGCAACTTTGACTTTCTTTGGCCACGGGCTGTTCGCTTGAGTCCCCGGGGGGCTCCTGGCCCTCCTTCTCGCTCTCTGCCCGCGGGAGAGGGCAGGCAGCCGCAGGCAGAAAGGGTGTCTGGCTGTTGGCCAGGCCAGACCCCACGCCAAACGCTGAAGTGGAGCGGAAGCGCAGCATCAAGGACAAACTGTGAGCGCCGGCGGGAACCTCCGGCAGCTCCACGCTTGAGGCCGCCTCCCAGAGGAGGGTGCTGGAAAACTCAGCACGCCCCAACCCCACACCCCTCCTCTTCAGAAAAGCCCCGCTCCCTAACTGTCTGCATCGCATCGGTGCAGGTGAGCCCTGAAACCAGATTCTCCCTCAGGGGATAAAGCAGCCATTCCGCCAGCTCCCCCTAGTCCCTCATCCCCTACCGGCGTCCCCAACGGCCTCGCCACACCCCGCCACGACTCCTCCCCACGGCCGGCCCCCTTAAAGCAAGATGGCGGAGGCGGCCTCTCCCGTCATGCCCCGCGGGGTCGGCGGCCGCTCCCGTTCAGTGGACGCGGCCCCCAAAATGGCGGCGGTGGCGGGAAATGCGAGTGTCTTTCGTCGCTGGTGTGTTTGAAAGAGTTGCTGAGGCGCTATGGATGCTGTGGGCTGCATGAAGTCCTTGCTCCTGGCAGTCACGCAGTACCGGGTCGCCAAGACACCGCCCAACGCGGCGCTCCTGCAGCGCAGCCTGGAGGTGAGAGCGGTGCCGGCCCTGCGCCCCCGGGCCGCGCGTGGAG